ACCAAGAATGGAAAAGACCCTCAGGATCCGGCAATTTTTATGTAACAAATCAGATCGCAAGCCAGGACTTATAAGCAATTGCCAAAGAAAAATATTATAGAAACCTGAACCAGATTAGAAGAGACACTAATCTGGATGTAGGTAAATGCACAAATGAGGCTGCCTGAAACTTCCAAGATACCATTCATGAAACCAAAGAAGTACTAGAATGTAAGTGATGAAAGAAAATCCAGGTGTAAGGCTAGTAATATACACAATCAGTTCTTTGACTCCCTCCTTCCCTTCTTACTCTCTCATTTCCTCAATTCAAAATCCAAGAAGATTCAACTACAAACATGTTGGATCAGAAACTTTGGGATTTTGTCATCGGCTATGAACTTCTAGTAAAAACTGGCTTGATGGAAACAATTTTGAGTCATGTTACAATGTTTTTTTTTCCTAAAGGCAGTATTTGCCCCCATCAAAGATTAGAACAAATCCGACTTTAGGAAACAACAAACTTGATGTAAAGATATTTTGTCTCCATTTGCACAAACTAAGACAAATTCCTTCTTAAAACAAATTCAAATTTGGATTGCAAGCCTTTTATATAGGCCTCCAAGCACTTGATGGGATGGGTCATGTCCGTTGATTGCATCCGATCAGTTAAGAGTCAAATTTGGCCTGGGATCATATACCTACGGTGCCCGACCACAAGTATATTAACTGGACACATCTTATCGTCATTGAGTGCCATTTGATCCGTCCAATTGCACATTTACTCTATCAACGGCCAGGATCGCACCTATCACAATCAGACACGCAGTCGTCTGATCTGATTGGTTGTTTGACTCACCAACTGTTGCTGACTGGGTTGCACCTGGATCGCACCACATCATTGCCACCAAGGTTTTTGTATCAAATAGAAAAGCACGTCCATGGCGCCACCAATGCACCACATTGCCCATGCTATGCACGCGTGAGTTGCACCATCCTTACGGTGCGCATACATGCATGCATGCGTACTAGCATCCTTCTCCACAATTCCTTGTTCAAGGAAATATTCCAGCTAGTCCTTTATTAATTGTTGAAACTTTTGTCATGTTTCTGACAAGCATTAAAAGGGTTTAGAGAAGCTTTCTTATGGAATAAGAAGGTTTTTGAAAAAACAAACAAAATAAACTCAAATTAATTTTCAAAAAATCCCTACACAACGTCTAGTTAAAACCCACAGCATTCTCTCAGCCCCTTAGCTCTGTAAGCAGGAAATTACAATATTGTCCCACAACCCCCCCCCCCCAAAAAAAAAAAAAGAAAGAAAAAGAAGTCCCAGAAGACTTGAGATGAATTTGAATCTAGAATCCCGTCTATGAAATGACTCAAAATCAAGAAATACAATTCCATGGAGACTGATAAGCAAAACAACTTTTGAATTACAAACTCCATATGCATATGAATAATTCTATGAACCTTACCCCGAATGTGTGGTTAGGATTGAATTTGTATTCTAGAGTATATTTGTAGAATAAATTTAAATCATAAGATGAAAGTTAAGTCTGGATTTGTAATATTGCTGTCCATCGATCGATCCATCAATGAGATCACACTCCAAACACATAGAGAACCAAAAATTGTTAAGGGTACAAATCCAACAACAGATAGTAACTTCAAATTTAGTGGAAAAAGAATATAGATCTAAACTAGGATTAGTATAGTTGGGAAAGCGTAGAATACAGGGTGCAAGTATAGAAGCATTGGGTGGGTGTAAATATAGTTTTGCTGTGCTTGGTTGGGGAATTTAAAAAGGGATTTGGAAAAGAAAAAAGAAAAAGTAGGTAAAATATGAATAAAATATTATTACATTTCAACTAATTTCACACATTTTTTTCCTTTTTCTTTCCAAATCTCTCAACCACACACGGTATAAATGAATGGTTCCCTTCCCAAATCTCTCAACCAAACACAGCATAAATGAATTTGGCTTCCCATTAAATGGAACAGACAGTTGAGATTTCATTCCGATAAAATGGAGATTTATTATTAGTAAGAGTTATTTACGTGGTGTTTGGTCGGAAAATTTAATAAGAAATTTGAAAAATAAAAGAAAAAATATGTGACAAACTAGGTAAAATATAAGTAAATTTTATTCATATTTCACCTCCCTCTATCATTTTCCTTTCCTTTCCAAATCCAGCCACATATCCTTCAACCAAATATAATTTGAACGAAGTTTCTTATCGGTCTATAAGAAGATAGGCCAGTTAAATGTTTTCTTAACATTCTTATCGAGTCTTTTGTTTAATAATTTTTATCGATATCCAGTTGAAATTTTAACCAATTCCATGAATACCTTGTCAGTATAAGCATGGGTGTGGCAGAGTGAAGTGAACAGTATCTGGATTCGGACTTCGCCGGCTTGAGGCGGACACACCTGTACCTCTTCAATCACCAACGCCTTTTTCGGTTCCCAATCAACCACAGCTTTTACCCAAACAACATCAAAATCAATCCCATTTACCCAATTTACATGCAGAGAGAGAGATAGAGAGAGACTACATATCTTTTTATTACAATATTATTTTTAAATAAAATTATTATTATAGACATCGATACACTCTTGAAGTTTTTTCGATACGTATCTTTAAACAAGTAAAAATCTTCTATATTCTACTCTCTTTTTTTTTCACTCACTCGATTATCACATATGAAAATTCATGCAAATTGTAAACTAATTTTCTGAATTTATTTTTTGCACATTTGAAGACTTGTGTTACCAATCACAATCATTACTGAATAATTTGTCTAAGTTTAAACTTGTGTTACTGAATAACCTAGTTTAGTTAGATCTTGTCGAATTGTTACCTCTAATTCAATCATGAATTGTCAATTTTTTGAAATATATTTGAAAATTCAATACGAAAAAAAATATCAAATTGATATTGTTATTATTATTATTTTCGTGTTTAAAAACACTCATTATTATAAGATTAGCTTTTTTTAAATTAAGAACCTCATCAAAGCTACGAATTTCATCTGAACTGACATTGTGATACTCTATTCATCTCACTGTATTGGGATTGTCAATTCATATTATGTTAAGATTTTATGGATGGATTTAATTCTAATTGGAATGGGTATCTCATTAGAAGACTTACTTTTTAATAATTTCATTTGAAATTATTATAATAAATAAAATAAAAAACTAATAGGTAAGGGTCCGAAGTAATAAAGTAGACTATTAGCACCACTCTATCCAAATATAAGTAATAAAGTAAACTATTAGCACCACTCAAATGTATGAAAAAGGAGCATTTGGCAGAAAAAACAAGTAACAAAATGCATCCATCAAATCAGAGTAGATTTCTTTCTTTTTTGAGAACAGAGTAGATTTCTTTCAATATGCAGGGGTCTGCCAACAACTCCATTTCTTTTTCCAAGATAAAGAGCATAAACACTTGAAATTTTTACACCATTGCCTTAGACCATCTCCAACGCTAAATCAAAATTGGTATCAGATTCAAATTTTGATAAAAAAATTACTTTTTTATGCTCCAACCGTTGCACCAGATTGATATCAAAATGAGATTTCAACAAAAAAAGCATCAAACTGAGAACGAGACACAGATTTTACCAAATCACTGTTACTGACCGTTGAAAGAGGTACACCGGTCAACCAGCCGGTTGCCTGGCCGGTTGACCAACCGGTCAACCAGTAAAAGATTCAAACAGTTCAGGAAAAAAAATTCAAACCGTTAAAAAAAAAAAATATATTTGCCTAACCGGTCAACCGGCCGGTCGACCACCCGGTCGTCCCGAAAAAAGTTCAAAAAGTTCAAAAAAAAGTTCAGACAATTCGTGAAAAAAAAAAAAAAAAATTTTTTTTTCGATACGTATCTTTAAACAAGTAAAAATCTTACTTCTATGTTCTACTCTCTTTTTTTTTTTTCACTCACTCGATTATCACATTTGAAAATTTTTTTGCACAAATATATGTATATATATATATATGAAAATTCATGAGAATTGTAAACTAATTTTCTGAATTTATTTTTTGCACATTTGAAGACTTGTGTTACCAAACACAATCTTACTGAATAATTTGTCTAAGTTTAAACTTGTGTTACTGAATAGTCTAGTTTAGTTAGATCTTGTTGAATTGTTACCTCTAATTCAATCATGCGTTGTCAATTTTTTGACATATATTTGAGAGTTCAATACCAAAAAAAAGATCAAACCGATATTGTTATTATTATTTTTGTGTTTAAAAACACTCATTATTATAAGATTAACTTTTTTTGAATTGCAAACCTCATCAAAGTTATAAATTTCATCTGAACTAACATTGTGATACTCTATTCATCTCACTGTACTGGGGTTGTCAAAAAAAAAATTAATTCATGGCGATTGCTATAGCCAAAGAGGTCTTTTAGTCATGCCAAGAAGGCCTGCTGCTTGACTCATGCAAGGAGTTGCCGAATTTGCAGCACTTGACAACGAAGGTTTTGAATTCCTGGGTTTGATGAAGGTGGATGCTCTCAATTCATATTATGTTAAGATTTCATGGGTGGGTTTAATTCTAATTGGAATGGGTATCTCATTAGAAGACTTACTTTTTTGTAATTTCATTTGAAATTATTATAATAAATAAAATAAAAAACTAATAGGTAAGGGTCCTAAGTAATAAAGTAGACTATTAGCACCACTCTATCCAAATATAAGTAATAAAGTAAACTATTAGCACCACTCAAATGTATGAAAAAGGAGCATTTGGCAGAAAAAACAAGTAACAAAATGCATCCATCGAATCAGAGTAGATTTCTTTCAATATGCAGGGGTCTGCCAACAACTCCATTTCTTTTTCCAAGATAAAGAGCATAAACACGAAATTTTTGTACCATTGCCTTAGAGAACAATCCGATAAAACATACTCAAATGTATGAATTTTGCTTCCCAACCATACTCCAACAAAGGTTTACCATACTATGTCTAAACATCTAAGTATGAGATTGAAAGATGCAAGAGGAAAAAAGCATGGGCAAGAAATGAAGATTTACAAGGGACAGATATGTGCCAAAATTTGGAAAGACGAAACAAATTGAACCCACATATTTACAAATGCACCAACCAATAAAATTAGAATGAAAGAAAAGCTATATATATACACATATTTAGCACATCTCAATTCCCTGTTTTCTCAAGCTGTCTTCTTATTCTTAGAACGGCTTGGTCCCCATACACGAATTGTTTGATCATCACTTGCTGATGCTAACATCTGAGGCCTCTTAGGGTTCCAGCTCACACAATTCACAGTCATTGAATGGCCAGAAAGGACCTCAACTGGATTAGAACTTCGCCGGTTCCAGATGTAGACCTGGTAAGAGACAACATTTTGAGCTTGGTTTGCTTTGTGAGAAATTAAATATTGTAAATTTTGTGCAAACACATCAAGTTCTTCATATGTAGGTGTACCAAGGTTTTCAATTGTTAAAACAAGTTATTAAAATAAAAAAAATAAAGAGAAAAGAGAAAAGAAGCAGCCGCTCACTAGGGGACTTGGTGAAAAAGCGTACCTGTGAATCCTCACTGCCGCTGGCAATAAATGTGCTATTCAACCCACCAAAGCAGGACCGTATCACATACTTGTGTTGCTTGTGACCCTCATACTTCAAGGGTTTCACCCATATCCCAGCAACATCCCACATATGGATCTCCTGGCTGTTAAGGTTGACTATAAGGTATTTACTATCCCCTGATATGGAAAGGGATGTGATCGGGTGCTCCTCTGAGATGACTCGCTCAGCATTTGTTGTCACATTTAATATCCGAATTTCTTTGTCAGAAAATACGCTGATAAGATTTTGTCCATCTGGTGTCACAGCAAGATCCAAAATCTTAGGCATCCTAGTCCCTTTCCATGCCTTAATCTCATTACCTTCACAGTCCCACATGTAGATGCCCTTTTCTGCTTCGGAGCTGCCACAGACAAGTCGCTTTGAATCAGGGAACCAAGCACATGAGCTAACCGTGAAGCCAGGATTCCCAAATGTGTGCTTGCAAGTACCTGTTTCCACATCCCACAGTTTGAGGACTTCCCCATTTCCACACGTGAGCAACATTGTGTCATTAGGGCTCCATGATACAAAGGACACTGGGTTTTGGTGGCTTCGTAGTGTGTGTTTCAATGTTATCTTACCATCTTGCAGCACCTTGAATAAATAAATCAGAATAGAAATTGAGTACTATAACATCAAAAAAAAAATATTAGAAAGTTGTACTTCAAGAAATGGAAAAGTAGAAACGTCGCACAAAGCATAAAATCCGACACTAGATTGACTCAACATGGAATTTAACACATCACAAGAAAGTTGATGCAGTTGGCACAAAATTTCCAATATCCAATGAACCTAATGGTTAGACCACAAAATCATTTGAATTTATACCAACTAACAAGTGTTTTAGTCAACAACAAAATTCAGCAACTCAACCAAGTCCAGGAATTTATGGTTTTATTGACAAGTATTGAAGTGTCCTAAGGCCCAGATTCATTGGATTTAACCATGTTTCTGAATAAGGAGTGTATACTTCAGAAGGATCTCATACTTCAAATTCTCACACTTAGTGTAAACAACTAAACAATCATTGTTTCTTGACGTCATAAAAAGCATATTAAAAAAATTTAATGTAACACAATAAAAACAAATGTATTCATCACTATTTCCAGGTTCGATATTCGTCCGAGTTATCAAACTAAACATTCATGCCTCACCTGAATTGGCAGTTGGAGTCACTCAAGCCACTAAAAGATTTAAGTGTCCAACTTTCCAGAGGTGCTTGGTTAAGAAGTTTTAACTTCCTGAACAAGCGAAAAGGAAAAGTGAAAAAAATGGAGTAATAGTCAAGTCTCCTAAATCAGTGGAGTATGATAGAAGATGAAATGAAAGAATATCAGAAAAATTCCATCAGTTCCACATTTTCTGCAGCTGCCATTTGGGTGTTCAATCGTTGCACAAAAAGATCTCTTGATTATCTGGGAAAACATTTCAAGCATCATATCTATGTAATTCAACATTTCAGCTAAGGTGTAAAAAACACTGACGGTTATCAGATTAGTAATCACACAAAACTGTCTGTATTGCAAACAATCTCAAGCTATAAGTGAAATTATTCTAGATAAGTCCAAAAGCTGTGTTCCTTTCTTCTACATGTCCCCTTTTAATTACAAAATAAATAAAAACTGATTTGAAGGGGAATAATGCCAAGAAAATATAACATGGTAGAGATATTTACCAAGAAGGGAGAAACAAGGAAAACATCCATATCCAGCATAACTGACCCAATAGTAACACTAGAGACCCAGTTCTCCCTAACAAAGGGCAAAAAAAATTAAAATAAAATAAAATAAAGAGCAAAAATATTGATTCCTGTAACATATGCAGAAGTCTAAACATTTTATAATTTCTCTCCTTCACAAACCCCATATGGACGCTTCCATAATAACTTCCATCCAAGACAAAACACCTTCATATGTCATCCTTCCTGCTATTTGATCCTCAAAAGATAATATTCATCCATGTTAGACCATTAGAGTTCAAACCAGGCTTAGTGAAATCATACTGCAATTTAAAGATGACATATGGCTCTTTCGGAATGCCTTTCATTCTAAGCTGAAAATCAAACACAACCTGAAATATTTAAGCATTATTTTTGCTCCATTAAATCTATTAAAAAAAATCCCAATCTGCCTGAATCAGTTCACCACTAACAATCAAGGTTGCCATGTAATAGAGAAAGGAGAGTTGATAGGCATAACTCAACTTAGAACTATATTAACTGATGAGTGAAAATGGTCATCGATTTTTGTCTTTTTCAAATTTCAGTGATGGCCTCTTGCTGTAGCTATTGAATTTTATGTGGATGAAAATCAAAGGTTATCATAAGCAAGTGGTCCATAAAATTCTGGCTAGAGCTTTAAATCATTTAACAACTCAGACTCTTGTCAGGTGTTCAAGTCCTCATGATTTTGGGTTATGAAAAGCAACTACAGAACCAAATCATCCTTCATCAAGGGAACTGGCTTTCTGACAAGCAACAGAATAAGGGATGAATTCTAGAGAGATGTTTTATTCAATGTTGTTATCTTACTATGATTGTTGATGATCTTTCTTTATATCAACTTCAAAGAGTTGTGACATTGTTGAGAACAAAGAGTGTTTCTAGAGATATCTACAACCTAGGAAGTGAACACCCTTAAAATCCAGTCTCACTTGTACAACATCATTATGGTGGATACTTCTATAATAAGGCAAGATGGGCTCAAACAATTGAAAGCAAATCATTCTTCACATCTTTGGATTCTGAAATTGTAAGTTTAAATTGTCGTTTGATATAATTGAACTACTAAATTATTTAATTCAACTGAGCATATAGCTCTTGATAGAGCTGAATGATCAAAAAAATATTCATGTAGCCAACTCCACTTGATTGGGACACAAGGCTAAGTTTGGTCTGGTTTATATAATTTAATTAAACATTGTCTGGTTTATATAATTTAATTAAACATACGAAAAAATAAACAGGTAGGATCAACTTCCACCTAGTGAATGACTTTTTTTACACTCCTCTTTAACTTTTTGTTAGAGCCATATTTCACAAAACAACCCATGGGATTCATGATTCTTTCTTGTTTGCAAATTTGCAGAGACCAGATAGAAGCAAGGCTGCAGAGAACTGTCACAATTCTCGAACTTATAGTTACAAAAATAAGATGAAATGTGAGTGCATGGATGAAACAGCTCCTTGATCTCTAATTGGCCTGAAATTTTGCATGCATGATGGGCATGCGGCATGGGAGTAGTATGTAATCCAAAGGTTATTTTTTGAAATGTCAATTTGACATATAGTTAGTTATGAAGAGGTAAAAATATAAATTTTATAAATTTTTACACCGGATAAGTTGATCCTACCTCATATCTTCAACACACTTCATAATATATATATATATATATATGACTTTACACTTCAGTGAAAGAAGGCATGAAGTGGGTACCACCTGTATACATTATAAGAAAACTAAACAAAACACCTACATATATGGGGTGTTTGGCCAAGGCTATTTTTTGGCTTTTTGGGCTAAAATCCACAAAAAGACAAAATAGGCTAAAATAGCCAATAAGACAAAATGTCATATCAAACTCATAATCATTTCACTTTTTCTTTCACAAACATCACATCCAACTACAAAAAAATCCAACTATCTTCCCAAATACAAAAATTTTAGCCTACTAAAATAACCAAAAACTAAAATAGCCTACTAAAATAGCAACTTTCCAAACACCTACATAATATACATATACTCTTTACTCAAAAATCTTTATAAAGTCAAAACATTAGTTCTAGAATGGTTAACTAAACCTGAGAACCAATACAAAGTAATGCAACCAAAATGCAAATCAGCATCAAGTTGAGAGAGAGAAGACAAATCCCCAATTAGGGGTAAACCCCCAAGGGTTAGAGAGAAAAACCAAAGCTCTTAGGATCGAACAAATTCTATTTTCTTTAATTAAAAACTAAGTACAAATGAGATTAGATCACCCTATTTATAGGCTACAGGACACTTGATTTGCTAAGTGAACATTTACATACAACTCATTTTTAACACTTTTTTTTTTTTTTTGATAAATAAAAGGAAAAACTCATTTTTAACACTGAGCCTAGTTATTCTACTATATCAGCACTCCTCCTATTGGAAGAAAGTTGTCCTCAAGTTTAAGCAGCAGCTAAGTGAACTCAATCACACCACTCAGCTAAGAAACTTGTCCTCAAGTTTATGCATAAATTGTGTTATGAAGAATGTGGAACATTGTTATTATGAAGGGATTCATCACATAAGACGTGTTCAAATGGTTCAAGAAATGTTGTCCGCAAAGTGTCAATAAAGTGTCCGATATTATTTTTTTAATTTTTTAATTAGGATACATTGAAGAAGTGTCGGACACATTTCTAGAGGTGTCGGAATCTTCCCAAACACACAAATTTTAGCCTACTAAAATAACCAAAAACTAAAATAGCCTACTAAAATAGCAACTTTCCAAACACCTACATAATATACATATGCTCTTTACTCAAAAATCTTTATAAAGTCAAAACATTAGTTCTAGAATGGTTAACTAAACCTGAGAACCAATACAAAGTAATGCAACCAAAATGCAAATCAGCATCAAGTTGAGAGAGAGAAGACAAATCCCCAATTAGGGGTAAACCCCCAAGGGTTAGAGAGAAAAACCAAAGCTCTTAGGATCAAACAAATTCTATTTTCTTTAATTAAAAACTAAGTACAAATGAGATTAGATCACCCTATTTATAGGCTACAGGACACTTGATTTACTAATTGAACATTTACATACAACTCATTTTTAACACTTTTTTTTTTTGATAAATAAAAGGAAAGCATAACTCATTTTTAACACTGAGCCTAGTTATTCTAATTTCTACTATATCAGCACTCCTCCTATTGGAAGAAAGTTGCCCTCAAGTTTAAGCAGCAGCTAAGTGAACTCAATCACACCACTCAGCTAAGAAACTTGTCCTCAAGTTTATGCATAAATTGTGTTATGAAGAATGTGGAACATTGTTATTATGAAGGGATTCATCACATAAGACGTGTTCAAATGGTTCAAGAAATGTTGTCCGCAAAGTGTCAATAAAGTGTCCGATATTATTTTTTTAATTTTTTAATTAGGATACATTGAAGAAGTGTCGGACACATTTCTAGAGGTGTCGGACATAAAATGCTTCCTTTTGCAGAAGTGTTTGTCCTATACCTTAAATGGTGCATCATCTTACCAAAATTATGTATGACATGTAAAGTCCATGTGAATTGGGGAAAAAGGACAAAGGCTAATACACAAAAGGCATCACACATAAAATGTATACAAAGAAACAAAAGAATAGAACAGATTTTGAACAAATATAAAGCAATAATAGTGATCCAAAACAGAAGAAATTATTGGGGATATTATATATTTTATAAAGTAAATAAAGAAGACTACCAATGTAGGCCGAAAGGTACCACATTAAGGCCGCTTAAGTTACATTTATGGTCCTTGAAGTATGGTTATTTGGCAGAGATGATGCGTTTTGTGTACTTATGCAAGTTTGGTGAACACGCAATTTCAAGCGAAAAGTGGCACATAAGCAAGTCCTCCACTCGAATAATGGAAAATCGCCACCTGTCAGTCCACCACACGTGCCCATCACCGCTCAAGAGGCCTACCTTAGGAAGCGTGTGCGAAATTTCTAGTGCGTTTTTCTGAGAATAAAAGGAAGAAAAATAGACTGGACTAGGGTACGGAATTTTTGGGGGCTGCACTAGAGAGCCTATGAAGCTAAGACAAGCAACTTGTGATCATCCATGGAGGCTACCATTACTACCATCATCTTCTCCCCCTCTCCATGAGCGGCCAAACATCTCTCTTAGGGTTCCTTAGCCAAGCAACCAGAATTGTAGTATTTGATTTTGTAATGTTTTGAGTGAGATACTCGTGAAATGAGTTTTAATTCAATGTTATTCTACCTTTACTCTTCATTCAATTTCTGTGTACAATACTTTAGAATGAAAAAAGAAAACCCTATATCCAACAATAAATTCAAAATGAAGCCAAAAAAATTTCATCATCCACATAGGTTTATAAGATATCCTTCAAAAAGGAAACCAAAACCAAACTTCCAATGGTTTGAAGTTTAAAACCAACTCATTTTCATTGTATCATTCATCAGCTCAGAGAAGGATAATTTAGTTCTAGTGATGGAAACCCATGCTGTATTTAATATCTTCAGGGGAATAGCTTATTTTCTTCCTTCTAATATTATTCAATTTTTATACAAGGGACTTGACTTTCTGAGATTCAAATGACCATATATGCGATGTACTGCCGGAAGAATGAGTTTCGGCCCAAAATAGACAAACCATTAACAATAGGATGAATTAGACCAAAACAACTGAATATTCATCAGGATGGAACAAAGGGTGTATTACTCAATTTCTAAGCTGAAACTAGAAAATTCACTGTGAAATTCAAAAGGATTTTGTAAATATTGTTCCAAGCACTGCAGATTTATAAAACATTTAGAAGATTATTAGTCATCCCAGCAACATAGATCTCCCTCCCAGGATTTTCTAAAAAAACCAAATTCCATATTCCATATAGGAATTTCCCAACAGAGACCGGGGATTGTTTGGGAAGTGCTAGATTAGTATACTTTTTGATTTTTTACGAAAAAATGTGAAATGTGGATTGGGGTTGAAGTGATGTGGTATAGAGGTCATATGACCCAAATAAGATGATTCTGATCCAAATAAGATGATGTGCTAAAATAGCACCACCCAACATTCAAACTCTTATTTGATGTTTCTACTGCATACTTTAGTATAAAAAAAAATTCCCGGCAATTTGCATAAGATGAGATCCATATCACATAGCCTATAATAAATAATCAAATATGCTAAGTAGATGTTTGGGATAAACTAAAAAAGTGCACTTTTTTTACCTATATACACTTATTTGGGTCACATCAATCAACATCTATCAACATCTCCTCTTTACTTTTCTAACCACTCTCTCTACTTTTCTACACAATTTTTTATAAACAGTCAAAAAGTGCACTTATTTAGAACATCTCAAACCAAACATACAAGTAATCAAACATATGATATTTACTAAGAATGACATAAACTTGCTTTTATAATTCAAACGCACGTAGCTTAAAGGAATGATTTAATAGTACCTTCCATATAATGGCCGAGCAGTCACATGATGATGAGGCCAAGTGTTCCCCATTGTTGGAAAACTGGACGAACCAAACTTCATGCTTATGGTCATGCAAAATCTGCAACAATGTAAAATTGTAATTCAGTAATACATATATTTAACAATAGAATATCAGAACAAATAAAACTTCCTAATTGGTCCAACCCACATTTTCAAGAATTTACAAAAATAACATGCATCACTTTTCAAAAAAAAAAAAAAAAAACAATAAAAGAACCTAGTAATCCCATGGTTATATTTCATATCTTCAACAAGTTCTACCAAAGCAACATGGAATGAATAACTATATTTGGGAATTTTACATCACTGGTCAGGTCATAACAGCTATGCATATCATATATCATACAAAAATATCCAAAAATACATCTACCTGTACTCAGATACACTGTCACAGTAAACTTACAAAAGCTGTTATATCTAAACATGGATTCTAACCAATAATGCATCCCCTAAGCAAAACAACTCTACAAATAAGAATTTCACAATTCCATGAAAGGACTGAAATTTCTAGATCACACTCACAAGCACACATGCTCTGAGACTGTCCATGCCACCCACAACCTTGTACTATTGATTTATGTAACTTGGGAACAAACACTACCTAATACTATTGACTAATATAACTCAAGAACTAGAAACAATGGAAATGAAATGGAAGAATAAGAAGGCTTAATGAAAGAAGTGGTAACAAACATATACAAAAATTACAATATTGTAGAATCCAACTCAACGAGCAAGTAAAGGATCATATGTAGTAAGAATGGGCTTGTCAGAATGGGCTAGACCAAAATGAACGCCTAGCCGTACAAGATCGATGGTAGGAAAAGGTGCACCAACTAGACTTATCAAGACGAGAAGCACAAAAACCCTGATCAAAGGATATCGGGGATGAGAAAAGATAAGCAGAGATTGACAATAGAATAAATCATTTCACTGATCTGAACTAATTGACATTTGGATTGAGAGTGGCGTCGCATGGGGATCTGCAAGAACTGGAATTCACATTCCAAGAAAATATTCCATGGGAAACAACACTCAACAATGACACACAATTGTATAAAAAGGGAATGGGAAGAAGAATGGAGGTATGAACAATTGAAAACATTACTACCACTTTCCATTTCTATTTTCCTAAAAACTAAGTGCGTATCACTTACTTGACTATTGGACCTTCCTCCTGCCGGAAAACCCTTGTTAACTCTCACTGGTTGTGCATTTTTGTAGGAACCCAGAGGCCATGCAGGATCATCTTGCTCTCAACAGCGGAATGAATTTTCCCCCACACAGTTGGTGTTGTCTATGGGAAAAGAGTCCCAAAAGATGAGCAGGTGAACCTCAATGGAAAGAAATCAAGAAGATAATCTCTTAAAAGGAAATTATGGAGATCCATCCCAAAACAATGAGAGAAACTTAAGGAAACAACTATACAGCAAGAAGAAGCACTTCGTGAAAAAAGCGAGGTCCACAAATTGAAAGCACGAGTTGATCAAAGAGAAAGGAAGATAGATAAGCTCGCAGATCAAGTTTATTGCTCGAGTCCGAACTAAGAAACATGCGAGGAGAACCTGAAGATGAGACCCGAGGAAGACAGAACGTCCAAACCCCATTTGGACTAAAACCTGCGCAACACAGGGATCTGCGTGCGTCGGAATAATGATAGGACCTTTCCAATGAAATATTCCATGGGAAATGACACTCAATAATGGCACACGATTGTATAAAAAGGGAGTGAGAGAAAGAAAGGAGGTATGAACAATCACCAACACTATTTTCCATTCCCATTTTTTCTAAACATTAAGCGCATATCACTGACCTGACCATTGAAGCTTCCTCTAGCCACAAAACCTTCAGTTGGGCAACTCTCAATAGTTGTGCTTTATGTGGGAACCTGGTGGCTCGTGCAGAATCACCTTGCTCTCAACTGTGTGTGGAATTTCCCCCTCACACGTAAGACAGTGATTTTGCAATTATGGTAACCAGTCTTAGGTACATCAATAGGGCTTATAAAATCTGGTTCTTACAATGACAAGCATAATCAAGTCTCCCATCACTTTGCTTGTAATTAGTTCATTAACGAAAAACAACACTCTATTGAAGAGAGAAAATAAAATGTGAATGATAAAGAAGGAGATCTCATCATAAAATACAACAAGGAGATATTGTCATATAAATAATGAGATATAAAAGGGAAAGTCAAACCATAGTATTAGTAGTACACAAACTACTACAATAATAGATTGCATTTATCCAAAAATTACTCTAAGCATAACAATGTCTCCAAAGAGAAACAAGTTGACAATTGAACCAGCTCACTCAAAACAAGAAGTGTTCCAATAAAACAGGATTCAATTTAGGAATGGCAATTTCTCTGGCCCCACCCCAAAATTAAGAAAATAAGGCGGGGAAGAGTTTTACGTACCCTGCCCCTGCCATGATTATATTTATTAAATCTCTTTGCATGTATATCATATATATATATATATATATAATTCAGTTTTCTTAAATACAGCAAGACTAAAACACCAAAATAATACACTTAACACTCATTTTCACTTCTTTATCTCTCATCTTACATCTTTTAACTTTCATCAATTATCAATCATTATCTGTCAATCAATTAGCTCCCAAATTTGACCATTACAGAGAACAAACACAGCACAACCAGAGTGTTCTCCACATAAAAGTGAACAGCCAAGTAAATCAATAAGTTGGGGCTCTTATGAAATAACAGCATGACAAGCTATACCAACCTTCCAATCAAGTTGAGTGTTAAGAAGAGTATTCCGAGTAATAATCATCTTTAAATTTTAGTACAAACAGCTTATAAGGAAACCAACCATAGATCTAATCATAACAATGCTGTGCTGGATGGCTAACTATCAGAAAGGATTGGCAGAAATTATTATATATCAGATAGTTTAACTTAAAAAGTGAAGCATTCTAAGCTTTGAAGCATGCATAAATTTAACATTGGCAGTTGACACACCTGAATGGTTTCTGTAGGAATCTGATCTCGACCACATAGATGGTCCTCGTAGAGTGATACTGAATCAAACGAGTTGTGGTACATACATGAATCTATTTGGCCATTAACAGCCATTTCAACCAGATGATCCAATCTCCTATCCGGAAGTGTTATAGGAGGTGGAAGCAATTTTTCCATTTCAGTCAACAATTTTTTCCGTGATTCAATGACAACATCATCATCATCAACCTTACCCAAGCCCATCTCCTTGAGCGAAAGAACTCCAAAAGCAAGGTTGTGAACCTTCTCTCTACCCACATGTAATGCAGAAATCTGTTTGCGTAGAACTGACAAAGCCGAAGAATCATCCCCGCGAATCAAATACTCCAAAAAGCTTTGTCTGCACACGAGAAACAATGCCGAAGCTCTTGTTTCATCCGTCAACTCCTTAAGCCCATGAAGTGTGTCAATGCAAGTATCCCAATTTGCATTCAGAATTTGAGATTCAAGCAATCCTAATTCCACAGATTTGTATGAAATACCAGACTCCGATTCCAACAAAGCCGCTGACTTTTTAAAACCCAGAGAATAAAGACATTGAATAATAATCCTTACAAATTCATGTTTCTTGATTAGGCCTTTAGGGCCAATCATTGTTGGCCTATTCTCCATTGATGCAGGACCTTTGGCTGCAAATATGGCCAGGAGGACGACTCCTGCCTAATATTATTCCAAAAATTCAAAAGAGTCCCTAACTTTGCGAGTAAGAAATGAATCAATAGTAACTTTTACACCCAAAAGATTCCCGCAAGCACAGAACTATAGAAATTATAACAGATTAGATAACAAAAATTGAAACCAATTACCCAAAAAACAACATGAAAAGGTTTTGGAAGAAAAACCCCGCATCTCAAGTACCCAAAATTGACAAATGCCCTCTGCCCCAGACCCCCTCAAAATGATAACTGCAAAAAAGAGCAGAACAAGATAGGAAAAATTAACCCAAATACAACAAAACTCAAAATGACAACTGGAAAAAATAACCAAGATACCTTAATTTAAGGTGAAATTTTTGGCATAAAAAAAATATCTCAAGGACCCAAAAGTGTCTATTCCATTGAAAGGCCAAAAAACCAAAGATTGGGAGATTAAAAATATATTTGTGGAATTATTAAGGAGAAATGAAAGAACCCTAAATTGCAGTAACAAAGAATACCCAAAAACAGTTATCTGAACTCGTAGCCGAGCTACCCAGAAGAAGTGGAAACAAACTAAGAGGGCAAATTCGAAACTGGAAACTGGAAGAAACTGCAGAGAGCAGAGCAGAGAAGAGAGGAGTCGAAAGTGCGGTTACAGATCGAGAGACAGAGACGGGGAAGACCGGTCGACGCCACCTGTAGCCAACGAGGAATTTTTGGGTGCCAATAGGTAGATTTGGATTTGATAGTAAAATATATTACACTTCTGAAAAATGCTTGAGTATCCCCAGTCCAATAAAAAAACCATTCAATACGTCACCTGTTCATATTTCATGATTAATCATTAGAGTTAGGATATGAGAAATGTTTGGAGCTTTTTTTTTTTTTTTTAAGGGAGGTTTCATGGTCTCAATTTAATCTTGGACCATGATGTATGTATGAGGTACTCATGTATGTACAAACCTCACATTATGAGTTGTTAGGATGATAGTGAGAGTTGTGGGGGTCATGTATGTGTGGAGATGATATATCTCCTCTAATTGAAATAATACTTACCGACTCTAAAAATTTAATTAAATGTCTCGCATGAGTGTGAGGCCCACACAATGTAAGTCTCATATGGACCACACACTCATGTGAGACATTTGATAAAAAATTTTACGGTTTAGCATTTTTTGATTAGGAATGGCAATTTAAACCTGGCCTGACGGGAACGCGACCCAATTAGAACGGATTTTTTCCGAAAATTACTCGCCCTAGGGCTGGAGATGGTGTTGAAAATTGAATCTCGGACGGTTTTCGGGCTGGCCGGGGATAGGTTCCTTGGCCCTACCCCTGCCCCGAATAATCCCCGAACATCCCCGTATGTATATATATATATGTTTAGGGTTATTCTAAATCTCACTTCTCTTCTCTCTCTCTCTCTACTGCAAATATTTACGACGTCGGCAATGGCTCATCATTTTTTTCTCACTGGTATCACTTCTCCCTCACGGTGTCATGACAGTGGCTCATCTCTCTCTCTTTCATGGTATCTCCTCATCTCTAGTTACTCTATCTCTCTCTCTCTTTGTTTTTTGCCTTTGTTCTTCAGATCTAGAAGTTCTAGTCATCGGTGCCAAGTTCTTAACCACTCCCATGGCTAGACTACAGTGCCAAAAAACACCACCATGGCTCAATCTCTTCTTGTCAACATTCAAAATTGAAATCTCTATATACTGCGTTAGAATATGCTCTGTAATACATGTGTCTGTTTGTGCGTTATATATATATACATACATATATATAAATATATGTGCACGTGGAGCAAAACTTGTTAGTTGCCTCATATTTTTGATTTGTTGAATTGAAGCACAAATTTCCATCAGTCCACATCCAAGATGCTCTATACCATCTTCAAATAATTGGACTATGTTATAAGTCAATTTTTACCTTGTTCTTTCAATAATCAAACAATAACATGTTTTCTGTAAGAAAAAAGCACAAAATCTGCAATAGCACAAATGAATAGAACATGCAAGTGATGCAGACATATTTTCCAAAACCATAATTAATTTTTTTTTCTTGCCATACCCATTGAAAGGTTTTAATTTGCAATTGCAATCACTGCCAAACTTCCGAAGCATGGGTAATTTCTGTTAATGGCCTATTGGCATAATTGATGAGTCATAGGTACTAACATTTCAATAAGAATAGTTGAAAACAAAAGGAATAACAAATGGCATACTACCATAAAAGTTGCTATTTAAAAGCAACTTTAACTTAGAAGTCAAGAGAGAAGGTCAAATAATGTTTCCCTAAAGAGTAGGTTACACAAAACAATTTACTAACGGCTATTAGTTTTGGGTCCTCCAGGTACCACTCCTCATTTCCCCATTATGCTACCTAATTAGACGCTACAGATTCACCGTAAATCTAAAATTGGTAAAAAAAGTTTAATACAAGAGATATAATTATTAATTTATTAAATATATGATTTCAAGGTCTAAAGATCGATACAAACAATCAAGAAAACTAATGGGTATAAGGGTAGATTATATGTATGCATATATACATACCTATATGCATATGATATGCTATCTCTATGTGTGTGTATATATATAAACAACGCCCAAATAGTACACATTAATATGTGTTGGGGAGGGAAAAGATTGGGTACACACCTAACCTTTGACATAGTACACTGAGTGGCTGCCTCGAGACTTAAACTCATAACTTCAAGGTTATTAGGCTAAGATTTTTACCATTGAACCAATGGTCACCCCTGTGTGTGTGCACGCATATATATATATATATATGTTTCTAACTGCTTAGTTTCTTCCAATTAATCTATTCTGTTGTTCATTTGATTAATCACGTTTTCAGTTCATCTTGATCACCCGAAAGATCGGTCTGTGTTTATCCACCTGGTTTGAGTCACCCACTTTCGTTCTCTGTCCAGAGTAAGTCCTTAAGGTTAGGCAGTATAGGACATAGGGGTCTCCCGAATAGGGTCTGTACTTAAACCAACTGGTATGTGGTAAAACTGACAAGAATAGGGTATGTATTAAGATATCTGTAAAACTGATTAATTAAAACAGAACAATGAATCGATTATTTAGAAGTAACTCATCAGTCAGTTCTAGGTCAACAACTTTGCCCTCAATACCTAATCACGGATTAGTAATTAATGAAGAAGATGTTGAAATACAAAATGATAATATTGATTTAACTTGGAATATACCAAAATTACCTATTAAGGAAATTTATAAAACTACCTTTTTACAGAATGCTTTTCATGTTAATCTGCATGTTAAAACAATTGAACAAATTTATGCTTTAGCTAAACCAAGGGAAACCTGCCAGTTATTTGATCAAAATATGATAAAAAGACATTTAAAAAATGGTAACAATTTTATTCATTTAGGATTAATTCAAGTAGGTGTTAAGCCATTAACCCAACAAGGAAAAGATGCTTCTGTTTTAATATGTTTAAGAGATGCCCGTTTTATTGATTATAATGATAGTTTAATGGGAATGATGGAAACCGGTCTGCATAAAGGTCCAGTCCATTTTAATTGCTTTCCTGACTTTACACTTAGTTTACAAGATCCACATATTTTGAAAGCATTACCTTTAAATATTCAATTAAATGGTTCATTTACCAATATGTTAGATAAAGTTCATAATATTGCCTTAATTTACCGTGTTCATTATAAATGCATGAAAACCAATTTAAATGTTCAAGCCTTACATAAAAGCCCAAAGGATAAAACTCTGTTAATCCAGAATAGTAATAATGAATCACATATTAATGTTCCTCAAATGATTGAATGGAAAAATATTACTCTCCCTGACCAATGGCTTACAACTAATGAAAATTACAAACATAATCAACAACAATCTTCAATTCAAGATATCCAAGATATTCAACAATATAATGATGGTTCTGTCCGAATTAAATTTAATCGAAGTCAATCCTCTAGACATAGTACTTCTAGTGTCCCTACTGAAATAACTACTGAAGATGAAATATTTAATACTCCTTTATTTCGGAAAAACAGTCAAATACATCTTGGTCAAACTAACCAGACTTCCCATAGTAAATTAAAAGGAATTGATAATTCTACTACTTCCCAGATTAGTAAACCTGTTTATACTACTCCTACACATTTACCAGAAGAAGATGTAGCTTCCAATACTTCCCCAACTCAAACTGATTTCGAAGAATTTATACCTCCTGTCAATCCTCAATTAATGACAATCAAAAAAGATTTTACTCCTGATTTAGATAAATTACTTCTTGATTTTCGATCCACCGAAAATAGAACCAAAAGACATGCTTATCGTGCTAAATATAATTCTACTCAGCAATCCAAAATCACTAGAGAATGGTATGATTTTATGGTACAATATGGTTTTGAGTTATCTTTCTTTGATTATCTAGAACAATATTACAAAAAGATCAACACGATTACCAAACATAAATGGAAAACTTCTCCTAATTCTTCTGTTAGCTCTAATCATCCTCCATTAGAAAATATAATTATTGATCATCAAGGTTCTGAAGTTCCAGCCTCTCCCTTTAAATTACCTGGTACTGACTCTGAAATTAAAAAAGTTATTGAACAAAATAATTATACTAATCGATGTTTAAAAACTATTGGTAAACAATTAGATAAAATAGAAACTAATTTAGATGAACAGTCTACAAAATCTACTAAACCCTTAGATCAACCTTTACTTAATCTCCCTAGCCATCGTTCTAAACGAACTAGCCTAGTTACCAATGATCAATCTACTGTCAAAGCCATTGAACACTTATTTACTAAGTTAACTCCTAATGATACTTCCAAATCCAAAGATAAAGGTATTACTGTTTTAAATCAACAACCTATTATCACCAACACTGTTTCTGATCAATCTGAAACTGACACTACTGATAATGAAATAAATCAATTAGCTGAACAATTTCAACCTTCTCATCTTAATAAAATTCATTATCCCAAAGTTAATCCACACATTATCAAAAACTGGTATACTCGACCTACTCCACCTGACCTCCAATTTGAAGAAACTAATTTCAATAATCAATTTTCTGTTTCTGCTAAAAAATTATATGAGTGGAATATTGATGGTCTCAGTGAAGATCAAATCCTTCAAAAATTAAATCATTTATCTATGGTAGCAAATAGTTATCTCAGTAATTATTCCCAATATTCTCAACCTGAAATTGTTTCCGTACTTACCTCTGGTTTTACTGGTATGCTCAAATCTTGGTGGGAAAAATACCTTACCGAAGAACAAAGAGACACAATCATATATGCTAATCAAACCGATGAAAATGGTCTACCTATTTTTGATGAAACTATTGGATGTTGTCACCCTGATGGTATCAATCAATTAATCTATACAATCGTTCGACATTTTATTGGTACCCCTACTAATATATATTCTCGCATCCATGATCAACTTAGTAACCTTACCTGTCCAACTTTAAGCGATTTTCGATGGTATAAGGATGTGTTTACCTCTAGAGTTATGTTACGAGATGACTGTACAAAATCATTTTGGAAAGAAAAATTTATAAATGGATTACCTAGTTTATTTGCTCACAAAATTAGGGATGTTCTTAGTAAACCTACTGGTGTTATTGAATATGATAATTTAACATATGGAGATATAATTAGCACTATTCAAAAAGAAGGTTTAAAAATGTGTATTGATCTTAAACTTGCTCAAAAAGCTAATAAAGATAAACATAAAGCCAAATATGAATTAGGCAATTTCTGTTAACAATATGGTTTACCTCCTGTTGCACCCTC